CTTGGGGCTCGTACAGCCCAAAGCAGCTGAGCTTGTCGGAGGAGCTGGAAACCAAAGGAGAAGCTTTCACTTTGCTAAACATTTGGCTTTGCTTTCCCTTTTTCTCTAAATGAGACAGGAGGCAAATATTCATCCAACACCAGCCATAAGGGACAGACACAYGGCAAGGGAGGAGAAGGGACCTCCATAAAAAGAAAGGCAAAACCAGTCCCCTTGAACGCCCTCACCAGCCCCCCACTGCAACAAGACCACTCGGCCCTCAATAATGGGGGTAATTAGTGGCCTTCATGGCAAAAGCAACCCCATAGCTTGCTTYGTATGTTAGAACTGTGATCCCAAACACATGGGAACAAATGGAAAAGCAGCCTCCTGAGCCCCAAAATACGGCAGTGGTGGAGCAAAGGCAATGATGACCTCTCTGACAGCAGTGACTCTGGCCAGGCAGGGGAGACCTGCAGATTCAAATGCTGCCACATTGGCAGCACAACTATTTTGGTTTCCATACCACACAAATACTTATTAAACTACTGCTCACCCTTTCCATTTGTTGCTGTTCCTGTGAGCAGAACCTGTTCAGTCYTTGCAAGAAAAGGTCCCTGGAACTGAAGCGAGGAGGGATTTTCTTCTCCCGATGTGTGTGCTGCACAAGGACATTATTCCGTTCCTCCCTTTGTCTCCTTGGGCTACAGGACAACCCCTCACAAAGCTGGTGGTTGACCTGTTCCTTACAGACGACTGACAGCACAACACCCGGGGGACATATGTGCAAAACGCTACCAAACGCAAACCTCCAAAGGAATAAAAAGCCTCCACCAAATAAGAGTGGCAGCACATCGGTGTTTTTAAAGGAGCATCGCTTACCTGCACAAATGAAAGTAACAGTTGTTGGAGTTTTTCACACCCTGCAATTCTCTGAGTAGGTTTCTGCTTCAGTAGAGGACCGCGCTGCCTGGAAAAGAGCTCGACGCTGGGCTGCAGGTCCTGCCACCCCGAGGCTGTGGTTGTGGTTCACCCGGGYACGGGTCAGCTCTGCCCGTGTCCCTCCACCCAGCTCCTCTCCGAGATGCTCTGYTGCTTCACAGCCCTTGGCAGCAAGTTAGTACCTCACCCCTCTCGCAGCTCATCAACATATTATGGATTTAAAGATTATGGATTTAAAGATGACACGCAAGCCTTACCATAAGGACTAAGGACTGAATGTCAAGTGTCCTTTTCTCGAAGCTGTCGCGGCTGAAGTGCTGCCATATGAAATTTTGGAATATACGTGTGCAACTGCTTCCTGCAAGTGTCTTTTTAAAGCCAAGCGGAACCCTTTAATTGCGAGGCTGKAGAGAGCTGCTTTGCACTTTCCAGAGGCTCTGGCTAAGGAGCCCTCCCTGCCCTCCCGTGCAATGAGGCAGTAGCACCACCAGTTGGTCGCGGAGCCCGCAGAGCAGCGGTGCGAGYGGCCGCGCCGGCGCCCGCCGCAGCCTTGCTCCCCTGCCAGGGCGCCGTCGGCTCCTCCGGACCGGGGGGCYGCTTGGAGGGCCCCGCGTGGGGCAGGACCCACAACCGCACCGCGCTTCGCCCCGGCTTCGCTCAGCTGCTCCAGCTTCGGCTTCACAGGATGCTAATTACAGAATCAGAGACTGTAATAYGGAGCTCCACAAAACTGTAGTAAGGAGCTCTGCAAAACTGTAATAGGGAGCTCCAYTAAATCCCAGCTTCTCAGCACAACCACATCTTTCTTTAGGTCATTCAGGAAAAGATCCAGAGGGAATATCAGTGTTCGGGGCTTCTGGAGCATCTCTTACCCGGACTGGGTCAGATGTGGGTGCTGATTTTTACTCCACAGGGCAGTAAACTACTTCTGCATGGTACATGGTCAGAGTGCTGTGGCAGGCAGTAAAGTCTTGATTTATATGCACATATGCAGTGCTGGATATGCCTTCAAAGCCCGTCRTGCCTACTTGGTTTCCTGGAAGCCCATCTTGTCCTCTTCAGTATCATACTTTGCATAAACTGGAAGTGTCCTCCCTTTTCCTGGTTCTCTCTCTTCTCCTGTGCTTGATCACTGGGGCCTGTATGGATGATGCTCAGGACTTGTTGAGATTTCCACTCTCTTGCTTGCTTGCACTGCAGATCCTGCTGCTTCCAAAGGTTTATTTTTAATTAACTTGGTTTAATGATGGCCACAAGCCTGCATGAATTTGAAGGAGCGGAGAGTATGGAACAAGTGCCTGCACTGAAGGGCACTTGTCCCTGCCGCTGGTCATCGTGTGGGGCCAGGTGGACAATGACCCTGAGCTCGGGCCTTCATCTGCCCTCCTATAGCCTGAGAAACCAGGGCCTTGGTCGGCAAGGCAAGTGCGGGGAGGAAACAGGACTTGCAGCTCACTTTTCCCCTTGGAAAATATATTCCTAGCGGCATATTTGCTGCACACTTTGTGAAACACCCTCCCCATTTACACTCTATCTACTYGTACAAAGAAATGTAGCAATACCTGATTTGAATGGATTTTCTGGCTTTTCTCATAGTTGAGACGAGCTTTGCTTTGAGAATGCTCCCACAAAAACACGTGTAATACCTGAATACAAATGATCACTGATGTTTTCACCTACYAAGCCAGTGTCAGGGGGCTAAGATACATATCAAAATATCACAGTTTTCAATATGACTTTGTTCTGATCCTGGCACAAAATGTTTACAAACAAGGAGCTTCACTCGTGCGAATAAAAGCAGAGTTCCTCACCTGAGCAGGTATCGGCCGCACTGGAGCCCCGCAGCTGTTAGAGGCACAGGGTTTCTGAATGGTTTTCTTTCAGGAGCTTATTAAAATTGAGAAATGGTGTAGGCCGCTGCAGAGCTGCTTTACAGGGTTCGGGGAGCACGCTGTTTTTGTAGCCTGTCGCTACGAAACTGCCCCTTTCCCTGAAGGGGCCGGGCGATCCCCAGCGCCGGGCACGCTCGGAAGGGGCGCTCAGACTGTAAATATTATATGCTGCCGTAAGAACATTTGAATGGTAATACTCAAGCAATTACTTTCCTTTCAAGATCATTAAACACAAATCTGACTTGTATTTTAATAGGACTGCCAATGTATTTAATGGGGGGCAGTAAAGGGTAGTTTTTTTTCTAATGGATGAATGTTTATATTATTATCCATTCTGAGAGACCACATTAGGAGAGGACTGTATAATGCTCATGTGTTTTGCCTCAGTCYTTTTCACCCTGCTATTCAATTTTTCCTTCTCAATTCTGCATCTTGCAGTATTAAGAAAAACTGCATCTACAACAAAACCCATCACAATATTCTGAGCATAATGAAAAAACAGACCAAGCACTTCCCCCAGAGCAACCCCGTGCTTGGGAAGCTGCTGGGCTTGGAGGGTGAAGCTGCTCTTCAGCCACGGGACAGGCCTGGCTCCATGGAGAGCCCCCCCGGTGTCTGCAGGGTGCCCAGTAGGTCCAAGCAGGTCCTTGGGCTGCCCAGGGGCGCCCTCGCTCGTGGGACACGGGCTGGGGACCCAACTGCAGCCACCACTTCCATATATCCATGAACACACACRCTCCTTCCCCACTGACCTTAGGAAGGGCCTTGCATTAACCCACAGCAAATGTGGCTCCCTAGACTGTGTGCTCTTTGTGCTCTTTGAATTTCCCAATGAATCACCTATTTCCTCACAAGGGGACCACAAGCAAGGTGCAAAACTTGGTCGCTCCCTGTTACTTTATTAAGGGCCTTAGTTGCAAATGTACAAAATACATTTTCCCAGATATTTATAGATCYTTATCGTAAACATTGCAATAAAAGAGAGCACCAAATGGCCAAAGAGAAGAGACTTAGCGTAAAAGGGAGGAGCAAGGTAGAAAGTTTTCCATCACTACACATGCTAGTGAGGAACAATCAAACTAACTAGGAGCTGTTTAAGGATCAAAATTACAACCAGGGTGTATTACAATGACACAGTGATGGGGGGGCGGTCTTGGATCCCACCCACTGTAGGTGCAGGCAGMATTTCCAAAGGTTTCTGTGAGCCACAAGCAGGGCTGACGGGAGGGTCCTTCTCTCCCCATCGAGGGTGTCCTGGGACCCTCTCCTACCTGCTCCGTGTGGCTGCTCTTTGGCAGCACCTCGCTGCACACCTCCTTGCTGAGAGCTTCAGGAAGGCAGYGTTTCGGAGGCAGCAAGGGGCCACACACCTACAGCAGCAGAGAAACGTGCAGGGCACAACGTGCAATAGTTACGATATGAACACTGCACAATCCAGGGTGCACGGGCTCCCGGAGAGGCAGGGATCTCCCACGCACCACAGCAGCGGTGCTAGGGACTATTACTGCAGAAAACAGTTGGGGTTTTCTAGGTGAAGGATGCTTATCTGGAATTCATGGATAATTTAGTCCTTTTGCTTGCTGAAATAGTTTGATATGCTCTTTAAATAAGCATATAAAGAGACTGATGTGTGATGCTTGTGGGTTCAGATGTTCCGAAAAGTGACGTTCCTATATGGCAGAGAATAAGGCTTAAAAGGGGATATTATTTATAAAAGCACCACCATGCACAGCCAGTGTTTATTTACCATTTAAATGCCTCATTTCTGTTCTGGCTGTCTGTGCTATAATTTGCACAGGCACTTAAACTTGAGTATAAATAAATGCAAAGGAGCCGTGTTTATGCAGAGTTAAGGCGAGGAAGCCAAGCGCTGGAAGATGGAGACCCCCCTGCAACGGCAGCTCCGCCATCTCACCCGCATCCGGCTTCTGCCGGGGCTCCCGTGGCCAGCGACCAGCCGCGGGRCCTGTCTGCGCCCGAAAACCTTGGCCAGAGCATCAGCGCTGAAGATGTGGCCGAGGTTTAACACTGCAGGACACCTGGTCGCTGGTGAGAGCGCCCTGGGCGTGAGGAGGCTCCAAGCGCAGCCTTCAGCTGGGAGGACGTCGCTGCTGCCTTGCCAAGGTCCTCGAGATGGGYCGGGATCCCGGGGATCCTTGAAGCACTTTCTTCACCTCAATGTTGCCTGAAGGGACACGCAGGCTCTGCTCCGGTATGAGGGCAGCAAGTCCTAGGGAATGAAGATCACCTCCAACTTGCTGTGTGTGTTACAGGAATGGAAAACTTGCAGTTATTTTCTTCGTATTACAAGGAACTGCCGGTTCAAGCTCCTACAAAAAAGAACAGTCAGTAAGGAGAGAGRTGGGCATAAAGAAAGGATGCTCCTGTCTCTGGACCAAACCACAGCTGCAAAGTCACATCTTCCTTTTGCCTCTGCTTTGATTTCACCGTAGATAAAGATCTGTGACCAGGCAGATGTTCAAGGCCAGTAACATTATGGGGGAAAAAAAGGAGGAGATGCTATTTGTGTTTCACATCAGCATAAAGCAGGAATCTGGCAGTATCACTGTCGTGTTGCTCTTTGTGACTGTTCAAACTGTTTGAGGGGCACGTTAAACACCCACCCCCACTCCAACGTTTCCTGTTAACAACGTTATCCAAACACACACTGACCCGACACAAGCATTTCCTCAGGTCCTATTTTCATGGCAGCAAAAAGAAGATCTAACAGCACACACACATATATATATTTCTTTTTTTTTTTATGGCGAACAGAAGACGCCTGTTCCTATATCAGGTAGCACACAAGCACATATCCACACTGCAGTATCCACAGGACTTAGCAAGCAAGCCTATGAGTACTGAGGTGGTTTATTTTACAAATCAAGGGCCTCAGACTGTTGCAACTAGCAGGTTGGAAGGTATTTGAGCGAGGAAGAGAAGTTGCTAACGATCAACAGGAAAAATCATTTTATTATTCCTCTAACGCTTTCCTAATTACCCTTGAGCTTTGCCCACAGCACTTGTTTGGAGTCACAGTCCGATTTACTCACGGCTAGATTTGGGAGCAGCCCTCCTCAKTACTGGCAGCAACAGTAAGCAGCCTATTGACTTCAGCAGGAAGGGGATCTCACCCCTTCTGCGTGCACATATGTGTGTGAGAGCCTTTTCAAAAGCACTAGGCATACATTAATACTAATAACTGAGAGTGCTCTTCCTCTGCAAGCTTCTGATAGGCAGCAGGCAGAGCAGGAACCACGCTATGTATCAATTAAGTGAAAAATAAATAATAGGGAGAAAGTAGTATCTCTATCACTGTATTCACTGGCACATGCATATTTATTAGCTATCAAATATAATGTTGCTCATATTATTATTTATGCTCTTCCCAAAGCCCTAAAGTCATGTATGGCATCATGGTTTAAGCGACGCAAGTCAGATGTAGCAGGATGGCCATATCAAAGCCTGACTCAAAGCAGGCTTGCTGAGGAAGTGCTGCTTTTTGGATTGTGATTTCATCCACATACCTGATCCGGTATCGATCCGTATCTTACATGGGGCAACCAACTTTTCCAAACTAAGAGAGGAAAATCTATTGCTAGACTTCTTCCAGGCTGCAAGTTCTAATGCARCTTCCTCCTACCCTCCCATCGTTAGAGACAAACCAGGCAGAGGCAGAGGGAGCAGGGCTCATCCACGGAGGGGTAACGTCTGGGTGAGGTGAGTCAGAAAATAAAGAAAACACACGTGCAACTTGCTGGATGTGTCAGTAGCAGGGGAACTGCCTACCAGAAACATGGTTAAATATGTAAAACTCTGCCTAGGGAAAATGTTTATTTACCTAGATTGACAGCGAATGGGGTAAAAAGCACTCAAGATAAGTGGCTCTTTAGCCAACTTTAATTTGTTGATGGATGGATTGATGGGAGGATGGTCAAAGAAATGACAACATAACTCTCTGTAATGGAGATACCCTGTCTGCTGGAGTTTGCAGTACCATTTGGTCTAATTATTCCTGATCCATCTATGAGAAAACTTTGCTCCCAGTGAGACAAGTTGTCATTCTTTTTCTTCAAAGAAAGATGTGAGAAGGTAAAATCAAGAATAATTAGAGCAAAAGATGATGGCATCTTCTGCAGTTAAAAACATACACAAAATCATGCCTATTGCTTAAAGACAGTTTGCTATATTAATTGAAATATTTGAAGTTGTGCATTCTATTATGCAGTTCGTACAGAAACAGACGGCCCATTTCACAAATTAGGGCTTGTCTTTTTMCGTTGCTTCAGCAAAATGATGGTGACTGAACACTGCTATTGGGAACGCTCCTGAGCTGGAGCCTCGCAGCCTCAGCACGGATGGAAGCGTGGAAGTTAGAGAGGAAGCAAGGACATCAAGGAGAGGCACCTGCTCCCAAAGCATCCTGCTGAACCACAGAAATGYCCTCCTGTTACAGACCTCGCCAATCAACAGGGGAAACTGATGTCTTAGATTTTCTGACCGGCTGAAATCAATACAATCCAAGAGCAACAAGAGGAGCTGCTTTCCTAGCTGGAGGAGCAGCTGCCCCCACCATAATTAAGGGCAGCCACACGATCGCTCCAAGTCAACTCAGTTAATTACAACACTTGCTTTCTAGGGGTGGATTTTCTGCAGTTTCCAAAAAATCAACTGTTTTAGCTGAGACTTCCAAAATTTGAGTTTTCCCAACTCAGTATCACTCCGGCAAATTATATCTACAGTCGAGCTCACTGTGTGCAAGCTGGCACAAGGATGGACAGCTTGACTCAGGGATACGGTTAAGAGCAACTGCACGTGAAATGGATGCTTGTGTCAGCTCACGTCGTAACGGGAAGCATCACCACAAGCAACTTGAGCATGAACTCTGCGTGGGACTCGCGGAAGAACATTCACCGTCGCGTGGCGGGTGCGAACTAAATTACCCTGGCACCAAACTGCTGAGCCCAGACTGAAGCAATGGGCCTGCCTGCTTCGCTACCCGGGGGCCAGACACCCCGGGCTTTGCAGGGACGCCAGGGTGTCCCGCAGAGGCAGGATCCTGCCCACGGGCGCCTGCCCGCGCCGGCACCCTGCGCCCCGGCCCGTCGGGGCCCTGCCCCACTGCTTGGATCGGCCCCAGCGACACGACAAGCACATATGCCGCGGCTGGGAATTTTATGGGCGAGCAACTAGGCTAGGTTCTAGTTTATAGTTCTGTTCAGCAGGACTGCGTGAAGCTAATGACACAGAAAGCCATTTGGGTTAAATTGTGAAGCTGAAAGATGTGGCACCTGCTTTTATGCTTCGTGTGTGGCTAAAAATACTTCTTCTTTTCTAAAATGCAACACAAATGACACTGAAAAAGAACAGCCTACAGTGACATCGGTGACATTATGAAGGGGGGCTTCATCAGCATCCCTGAGCATGGAGAGAAAAAAAAAAAAAGGTCAGAAAGAGAAAACACGATGTCATTGCTTAAACCTTGCTGCATCCGTACGTTAAGGAATTGATGTGCTCCTGRTCTCTCCATTTAAAAATGGGATGGTGATAGGATTTAGCTGAGTGAGATGAGAATAATCCAAAGTAGAGAAGTTTCCATCTGGGGAGAAAATAAACCAGCATCTATTTAGCCTGAAAAAGAGACTCTTGAGGGGAAGAGCACGGCAGAGGGTTGTGGCGCAGGTGAAGTAAGCAATGAAGTACTCGGGCAGCCGAACGAGAGAGGTTTAAACTACACTCTGTTGGTTTCCAGCTGCAGGGAGGGTGTCTCCCAGGCCGTGTGGAAGCCGGTGGCTCACAAGGCTCTGCAGACACGTGCGCTGGTGGCGGGCGAGCGGGAGCGACGCGGCTCCGCGAGGAGCCACATTTCTACCAGTGCACGGGGACTATTGCCAGAGATCGGCAGAGGTTTTGCTTCTGCTGTTGATGTTTTGTGCGAGATGCTTAGCTGCCCTGATGGGATGTGACAGTGTAAGCAGGCAGAGAAAAATGGAAAGGTTACTACAGTAACAACATCACTGGGATAACTACTAATATTCTTGATATTTAAACTTTTTAAACTTAAGTATCTCATTATTTATCAAGCAGGAATGTTTTGACAAGAAATCCTCCTCCCCGYAAGGGGTTTTAATTTTTTATCATTTTTGTTGAGAGAAGTATATGTATGCAGAGCAAAACAGAGAGCTCCAAATATACTAGATATACTAAATATATATACACTAGAGTTCCAGAACGCTCTCTAGYGGAAAAGGAAAAATCTAAAGGCAGCAAGCTAGGCGGAGAGCTGAAGTACCCACACCTGGGGTACAGACCGAGAAGGCCCTTGAAATCCTGGGAGCCGCTTCCCGGGCCCGGTTTCCCTGCCAGGAGGGATTTGCAGCGTGGGGCACGGCTCTGGAGGCTCTCCTGCACCGTGTGTSCCCGCAGCTGGCTGAGGCCAGGGCAGGCGCCGGGGCTGCCTGCGGCTCGCGCTCCTCCCAGGCCAGGAGCYGCCGCTGCCGCAAGCTCCGCTCCTGCCGGACCGCGGCTCTGCCCAGCGCATCCCCGCGCGCACCCTGCCTGCCCACCCCAACGGGGCGTCACAACTACCCGTTCCTAAAAAAAAGAACGGCTTTCCATCCAGTTACTGAGGATCCTGTGCCAGGAGACTAACATGCCTTTCACTTCGGTTCACTTAGTTCGGCARGACTCCCCACTTCAGCTGTAACCCACTCTGCTAGCAGGGAATGTACTGTAGCCACCACAGGGTTAGGGAACTAAAAAATACACATTTGAACTGACAGCATGAAAAACGTGAATGGGGGTGAAATATAATTAGCTGAGGCAAGGACAAGGAGGAAAGTCTGCACAGCCATAATTTATGTGGGATATTGTTATAGTTATTACCATGCAATTTAACAGGAATACACCAGAGCAATTTTGGTATCTTAAAACATGCACAAGCCCTCRTATATATGAGGAAAGTCTCAGAACTCAAACCATCCAAAATAATCCAGAAAGTTATTATCATAAACAGCACAATTAACACAAGGTCCACAAGGGATGAGCCTCCGTTTCCGATAACATTAAGAGAAAATGAAAGCTTTGCTGCTTTTTTTTTTTTTGGTGTGTGGAAGCAGAAGCAGAGAACAGCCTTTGAGTACTAAAGAACAGCTATGGACACTGCTTTTGAGGGTTTCGACTTGTAAAACGAAAATGATATTTATGAAAACATCTGTGATTTGCAGGCTTCCTTATACTGTTCTTGTGAACACAGCCTTGCTTCATCAAAGGTACAAACACTTTGTGCTGGTAACACGGGCCGTGGTGCTATGATTTCAACCAGAAGAGA